TATATAAAGAAGAATGCAATAACTCAAGTATTCTTATTAGTAGCTTTATTTTTCGTGATGTATTCAAAATTAACTTTTGTATATTAGTGATTACGCAAAAAAGTAATTTTTTTTGTGATATAGACTGTTAACTTGTCATACAATTTAATTAGTAAATTTACTTTGAATAGAGAATTATGTAGGAGCATATTCTAATATTGGTACTAACAACTTATTGCTAATTAAGTATATTATGCCTTAATTTAATAACGTTGTAAGTGAAACTTATTAACTTCTAAATATGTCATTATTCTTGTGAATAATTTACTAACTATTAATAGGCTATTTACTAAAATAGAAACTTATAAATTCGTAAAATATATGGTCATTTTTATTGGAATTAATATACTAAACTACAATTGCTAATTAACTAAAATAATACAAAAAAATTCACAATTATAAATCAAAATAACATCATTCACATACCAAACAAAATAGGAAAAAAAAAAAAATATAATTCAAATACCAAAATCAAATTGGATATTTTATTAGAAAAATATAATTCTGGAAAACTAATCAAACCAAAAAAACAATTTTCATACATATTATTCACTGAATACAAACAATTTAAAAATTAAAAAAATAATAAAACAAAAGAAAAACCAATGAGCCCCCTCTGTTTACAACCATTCAATTGATAACGGTAAGATGGAGCTCACCGTTTTCTATCATCTTCCCACAAGAAAGAAACAAAGTAGAGAAGAAGAACGGAAGCAGAGAACCCTACCTGCAGAAGGCGGCGACTTTTCTGTCCGGTTGATTCCTACAGTACCGGGCAAGAGTTATTCCAAGAAGATTAGGTAGAATTTTAAAGGAATAAAGGAAAAATAAAAAAGACCGTATAGAAAATGTGTTATTTTATGTAAAGGTGAGGGAGGTGGGCTTGATCGTGACAAACGGTCGACCAAGGGGCATTCATAAAGCTCTAATATTTGCGACTGACATATTGGGTTCGCAAACTTTGCAATATATCTGATCGCAATAATTATTCATGGCGCTGATCGTTTTATAAACGCCAGTTTCAATGATCTAAGACAGGTCCTTGTATAAACAATAGGAATTACAACTTGGTCACAAATACATCCACTTATGGAGTCAAAATAAGACCAAATTTGCTTTGCGGAAAAGTGTATCACGAATTTTGTAATAGCGCCGGTCCCCATGGTACAAGAGTCAGCCTAAAATCTGGTTCTCGCTTAAAGTTCGCGTTACTCAAATCCTCAAAACGGTATGGTCGCCAATTAAAACAAACAAAACTCCGTGTGAAATTATTATAGGCGAAGGCTAGTTGTACTAAATCAATCTTAAATCAATCAAACAAAGCGCGATATCCGCCATTAAATGTGTTCCGTGATCATAGTGACAAAAGAAAAAAATTTTGCTGGTTGTAAAAGTGTTGAGCCTTTATTTGGGAAAAAAAGATGGAGTAAGATATTTATTAATTAGTCTCCACTATCTTCTCATTCAATGGTCAACAAGTGGTAACGGTCGCAGAAAGGTCGATCAACAATTTTAGCATTTTTTCTGGTAGGGTAAATGATGGTGATGATTCGTTAGGGGGATATAATTTTTAAACTTTATGCTGCACCACTACCCACCCCCGCTTTTTTAAAAATTTGTTAAGCATTAGGTTATTAGTATTTTTAGTGTTTTAAACAATTTCTTAATTGTTTTCCTTTCTGTACCTTAATTCCTTCTTTTTTTTTTTTTTTAGTTTGTTTTCTTTTTTTGCTGCTGTTTTTTTAATTTCAACTAGGAATTTCTTAAATATTCTCATACTTCCTTTTTGCATCCAACCAAAAGTTGTCGAATATTCGTTATCACGGTCGACGTATGTTTTTCACATATTCTATGATTGAATTCTTCTTTCTCTTTTCCTCAATCGTCGATTAGACCTAACTCGTTGTCCACCCATAGGGCTTTGAAGACCGACAATGACAAACATTCATCGGCATTGTCACGGCTCGGACTTGATCATAGATTCTCACTGAGAAAATAATTTTGTTTTTCCAATTTTTATTTTCGTTTTTCGTTTGCTATGTCTTCCAATGGACCAAATCTAATCTCCTAATATTACAATTTTCATCTCCACAGATACGGTGGTTGTTTTTTTTGAAAGAGGACAGTTAGGACTCTGATTCTGTTTGGTTTGATTTTTAATGTGTTTAAATTGATGCGTGTGCTGGTTGTGCATATATCTATATTTAATTGGTTTGTCTCTGAATTTCTATATGTCTGTAAATGAAACAGCAAAGAGTCTTAATTTAAAAAATTTCTGTGAGCTACAAGATTGGAAAACAAATTTACTAAAAAACAAAGCTACGTATGTCAGTATAAAAACTAATTCGACCTTTTAAAGTAAATATTTTAAACATATATATGATTGAAAATAACTCATTTTATTATTTGAATTAGAGAATGCTACTAACTACAAAAAATTTAATAATTAGGTTAAAATTGATAAGAAATATCAAAAATGGATTGAAATTTTGCAAAAAGCAATGGCAAATGTATGCTCGTGCGGTTCTATGCCTGTAATAGCATTAATCTTTAGGTCACTAAAGTCAATATTATTATATAAAAAACCTTAAACTATGTTGCGAGGATAGGTTTTAAAGATGATTATACCCTAATTTACTTTCTTCTCCTATACCCTGAACCTCCCAATTCTGATTTTAGTTTAAAAAATAGTACTCTAATTTCAAAATGAATATACCAATTAATTGAAAAAATTTATTATATTTTCGCGTACATTGTACATTGTTCAGGTTAATAAAAAATCTCACTGTTGAACAACATGCTATGTATAACTTAATATTCTTAGTAATTTCTAAAATTTCATAAAAAAGCTAAGCATAAAAAAAAAGTAAATTTTTAGTGAGGCTTTTATATGAATTTAGACTTAATTTAGATTCCTATAAAAAATAATTTATTCATCATGGGTTATAAATTTTATTTTTAGAGAATCAATTTATTTGTTCGATATTATGTGAATAAAAAAGTATTCTATTTTTAAGATGATATATTATTTTTTATTTTAATATTGGGTACAATTTTAAAAATATATTTTATTAGGTTAAAATGTTTGTACCCAATTTAATGGAATAAAAATACTATTTTTTTTATTTTAATATTGAGATATTCTGAAATTAGTAGTGCGTACTGTAAATAAAGTAGAAGCATTCAAGGATAATAGAAGGAAGAAAGTTAGATTTATAGTACCAACTATAAACTATCCACCAAAAAATTTTCTTTCATGATTTGCCATAACTCATCTTATAAGTAGGGTGGATAAGTTCAAAAGTATCCAAACATTAAAAGTTGATCTAAAGGTAAGATTGAAAACTGTTTGAAAAGTTTGGCTGTGTAAATTCATGGTTCAATTAAAAATTATTTACTAGAATAGACCAGCCTAACCTAATAAAATTAAAAAAAAGAAAAAAATTAAAATATTAATGCCTATAAAAATAAAAATTCGAAATTACAAGGAAAAATTTTTTTAAGTGGATCGTAGAAGCTATGGTCTTTTAGCTTCCTCTAGTACTGAATTTCAATGGATCAGTATATCACGAGTTTATCACCTTAGTTATTTTTTTTTTTTTTTATTTAAAAAGAAATTCTAATGAAAAAAATCTTAAAAATTTGAATTCTTAGGTATAATATGTCCATAACCATGAATCAAAAAACACCTGTGCCCAACTTTAATTCCACATGTATAAGAGTTCAATTTTCTGGATGAATATATAACTATTTGCAATTTTATTCAAGTAGAAGGAATAGATAATTACTTTTAATTTTAATCATTTGTTGGAGTATATAAGAAGCGGATTTCTTATATGTGGAAATATTGTTAACTTTGATATATATATAACCGTTATATATTGGAAAGGTGCTAAAATCTAAAGAAAATATTATATAAGCTTTTAATTTTTAAAAAGAAAATTTCACTTTTGTAATATCTTCATTAATGTAAATCATTAAACTTGCTAAATTCACAGTAATGTAATAAATTTAATTTTCAAAATCATTTTAATAGAAAATCTAACAGATTGAAATAAAAATTGCATCTGGAGTTTTTTTTAAAAAAAAAAAAAAAAAAAAAAAAAAAAAAAAAAAAGAACTAACTAAGTTTGTCTTGAAAGCAAATTAGAAATCAAAAAAAAATAAAATGGTAAAAGCAAATTAAGTTAATCGTTGGAAAATATAGATCATTAAAAAAAAAAAAAAAAAAAAAAAAAAAAAAAAAAAGAACTACTAAGTTTTTCTTGAAAGCAAATTAAGAATCATAAAATGGTAACAAGCAAATTAAGTTAATCTTTGGAAATATAGATCATAAGACTAATATATATTGCTGTAATAAAACCCGTTACAAAATCTAATTTATAATATCATCAATTCCAGTAAGAATGAATACTAAGTCTTCTATAATTAACATTCTATATATATATATATAATACAATGTGATGCATTTTCAAATTTATTTGCAAGACTAGGAGCTGGAAATCTCGAGCCACTATATTTGGGAGAATTTTACCCAAATATTTATTATGAATGACTTAAGTGATAAGACACATTTGAATTCGACGGACAATATTTGTAAGGTCAGAAATATCAATCTATAGAAAAACACTCATAGAAAGAGAAAACCACAATCTTAAAAATGAGTCTTATAACGAGAATAGTCTCTCTCATATTCAAAATGTATAAAAAATACTCAGTAGTAATTTTGAAAAAAAATGGATCTTAATTTCCTTTAGTAAACATATATTGATTGGAGAATATGGTTGACTATCTAGATTTAAAAGAAAAAGAAAAAAACAAACAAACAAATTCAACTTACACGCAAAACATTATTAGTCCATTGTTAGACAAAAACAACCAAAATATATTCTTATAAAAGGCAGCTTGTTAAACAAAATTAAACAACCAAAATTTGTTTTACTATCCAAAAACTTTCAAAAATGTTTTTCCTTTCAATTCAACACCTCTTGCTCTCTTTTTGCATGTACTTCTCCGTCTTTTCCTTCATATCCCACGCTTCTGTTCCTCCTTCTGCAACTTTCAAATACGTCAATGAAGGTGAATTCGGAATCTACATTCACTACAAAAAAAACGCTAATTTGCGACTGATATTTGCGACCGACAAGTATCGGTCGCAAATGTGCGACCGATTTGCTACACAAGAACAAACAGTCGCAAATTTTAGCGGTAACAATTCCCGCGATTTCGTTTCTCAGTTTGTGACTACTATGTGACGGATTTGCGACCGATTTTGCGATCGATTTACGACTAAGGGTTATTCCGTCGCAAAATTTCGCGGTTCAAAATTAGGAATAAATTTTGCGACCGATGTGCGACAGATTTGAGACCGAATTGTTGCGACTGACTGGTTTAGTCGCAAATCGGTCGCAAATTGACTGCGAAGTAAAACGACGTCGCAGGGTAAAAAATTATGACCGATATTAATGGAATTTGCGACCGACTGGTCGGTTGCAATTTTTAGGGCTTTAAACGCCCTCCTTCTTCTTTCTTCTTCTTTCTTTCTTCTCCTCCTCCTCTCCTCTCCTCTGTTCGCAGGCCGCTCTAGCCCCTCTTGACGCCGCTCAGCCGCCTGACCCACCGGCTGCGCCCCGTTCTGTGACGCCGCTCCAGCCCCTCCCAGTCACTCACCCGTTCTTCTGAGGTATTTGCGATTTGTGTTTCGAAAATTTTTTGAATTTCGTGTTTTTTTTTTTTTTTTTTTTGATTTTGCGATTTCATTGTATTTGGGCATAATTATTTTGTTATTTGTAACGTCATTTTGGTTTATTTGCTCTTAATTATTTCATTTGAAAAGAGTTGTTGGAGCATTCATAAGTGTTAAAGTTCAGTGCATGGTTTATAAAATTAATTGATTCATTTGACCTGCTAATTTACAGTTTCCTTAACATCGACATTTCAGTTTGATGAGAGCAAAAAAATTTGAACTTACAATTTTTATTGAACCTGAAAGAAATAAAAACAATAAGGAACCGCTTTTGCCTTTTAACTTTGCCTTTAAAATCAATAATCATGTAGTTATACCTTTTTCTGCATGTGATATTTTCACTAATTTATCATAGATGTAGTACCATAAGTTCAAAAAAATGAAAAAGAAATCAAAACATAAATGTATAAGCATTTTCATTAGTTAAAAAAAAAAAGCATATGCAGTAGGAATATTATCTGAGACTTGTTAACAATCCTCCGTTAAACTTTCATGAATATGCTCCTTCTATCATTACCTTCAATGGATATATATGTATCAATAAAAACATAAAGGGTCAATCTATTTATTTTCTTATAAGTCAATGTTTTGAAGCCAATTGCAAATAAAATTTATCCAATTAATCCATTACCAAAAATGAATGTGCATAGTTGACAGTTTTTGCTGATTTCGTTCGATTAAACATTCAGGAAATGCTTGGAATATAAAAGATTTATTGGTCTTCATTAGAAATGTTTCTCACTTCATACACATAGGAATTATCTTACAATCCAACATAGAATTGGCTCACCTATCTTACAATCAACATAGAATTGCCTCACTTCAAACACATAGAATTATCTCATCTTCTGTACCATATGCCCCTTTACAGCTGCTTAATTTTTAGGATTGGCAGTTGGGTTTGTTTCAGTTCTTCTCTAGTTAATTGTTCCTCACTCTCTCAGGTCATTTCTGTTACTATACTGTTTCTCATTTTACTGTTCCATCCTTTTTCTTTAATTAACTTATAAAAAGAGAAAAAAAAAAAAAGCTAATTCTCGAGCATATGCAACTATTTATTTGCATGTAATCCAATAATTGAACATTCTTTAAATAATAAGATTATGCAGTTTTTAACTGTCCAATTATGCTTATTTCTCAAAAAAAAAAATTAAAAATCAATTTAATTGGGTCCTCTACTTCAGTATTTGCCCTAAATTAGATATAGTGAGAAGGGATGGAATCAGAAATGATTAAATCACAATGAACATTTTTTTTTTCTTTTAAATCATGTTGGTCTTACATAAAATAGCATCTCAAAAGAGTGTGTTTGTGTGTATATATAAAATCCCTCCCTCCCATCCTTTCAATCCTAATTGTAGTAGATCCAATCCATAAGTTATGGCAAGTTTCATATGTCAGCAAAATGGAAACCCTTTTTATATATTCTTAGCCTGACAAAGGCTTTGCACAAAAAAAAGGGGATTTTCCTAATCATGAAGAAAAAGCACTACTACATGTTCATGACCATCATATAAGTAAGTACTGCTAATGATTTGATAAAACCTAAAATTGATTAAGGTATAGAAATTAGAAGAAATTAATTAAGAAAGATAATTCTATTACATAAGTACTGAAATTAACTAGCAATTATTAATTAATAATCATTAAGCTCTATTATTGCATTAGTAAATTCCTATTATGTTCCTAATTATGCTGCTTGAGAGAAACGACAAAGAGCAACTAGAAAAAAATGGATTTAAAGATTTGGTTTATATTTTCTGCCCACTCCCAAACTACTACTTTACCTTCTAAAACAAACTATTAATGTGAAAATGAAAACTGTCTTCGTACCCTTTTTTTTTTTGTTTTTTTTTTAAAATTTTATTTTATTGTTAAAAAATTCTCTAAGAAAAGATATCTAAATAACATCAAAATATTATAGTATATTCGTAACACCAAATCACATAATAGTTTCAATCCCTTGACTTTGTCAATAGGTGCCTTTCCACCACATTCTTTAGTACATTATAAATCTTATAGAGATTATCCGTTGAATTCAAATATAGTTAATCATTAAATCATTCCTTATATTATATCATATAGTTGTTTAATTAATCTTTAACTTGATAATTTCCACCATATGTCGTATGTGCTTTTAGAACATAAAAATAGAATCGTTCAAGTTTTTTATAAATTGGAATAAGCAAAATTGTTTTATAAAAAACTAATAAAAACCATTAATATCATTATTAGTGTTAATAAATTAACATATATATATATGATAACTAAATATTATAACTAATAACTACATAGTAATAAATAAAAAAATGATAATATTAAAAAATATGTAATTTTAATTTTCAAATAAGACATAAACATGATAGTTTGAATTTTTTTTAATAAAAACTAAATAACATAATAATTAAAAATGAAATATAAAAAACATATAAGTAAGTATTCGAGTTGAAAAAATAAAACATGAATTAAAGAAAATAAATGTTTAAAATTTACATCAATAAATTAAATTATTCTAATTTTTCAGAAAGTATTTCTCATTTTTTAGAATAATACTAATATTTTAAACAACATAAAATAATTAGTTGCAAAAATTACATATTAATTGAAATTCACTCCTCTCATCTCATTTGCAAATTTCCCTTTAATTCCCAATATTAATTTTTTTTTACATATATTTATTTATATATCAACACTTTTTTACTTTGTATTGAATAAATGAACTTAGTGATTTTACATTTATATATAGTTACCCTTATTATAGAAATAACCTTAGTTAGTTATAAGTGTAAATTGAACATTAAATTAGTGGCATGTTTTAAGGATGGTTTAGACTAATGCAATTACATATAATTTACCCTTTATAAACACATTGTTAATTAGGTAAAAAAAAATGCGAAATAATCGAAATTGGATGTACTAGAGGTTCGAGGTCAATGGGATATTAAGACAAGAGTTCCTGCAAGGATTGGAGGCGTTTATACAGTTTGCAGTTGGTAATCCCACTTTTATGGATGGTAATAAGTTGAGGTGTCCATGTAATCACAAGAAGTGTCGAAATCGAGCCTTCTTAGACATCAATACAGTGAAACTTGTGCAAAAATGGGTTCGTGGAAAAATTATTACGAAGGATACATCATGTGAAGCTCGAGTTGGCCAGTGGGTCGGGCACTTCCATTCCGGTAAGTTTAGAAAGTTCAGCCTTATCAATTCGTATTGGTAATCAATGCATATATGGTAATCGATGCGAGTAGAGTAACAATGTGATTGGATAATATGAGGAATTGGGATAATATGAAGGAATCGCCAAACTATGCAGCACAACAATTGTTTGACATGCTAAGTGCAACTAACAGTGAACTGTGGCCTGGATGCAAGAATTATTCAATTCTATCTGTTGTGGCACGATTACTACACAGGAAAGCAGAGCACCATTTTCAGAAAGGTGTTAAGATGATTTTGTGCAGTTAGCAAAAGAAATATTACCTAAGGCCATTCGATGGTTGATAATTTTTACCGGACAAAAAAATTAGTTCGAGGATTAGAACTACCTATGGAAAAGATTAATTGTTGTCGAAATAATTGTATGATATACTAGGGGTCTTGACTCTGAATTAAGAGAATGCAAGTTTTGTAATCTTCCAAGATATCAACAGCGGGGTCACTAGTAGAGTACAAAGAGAGAAGCGTTTCAAGAAGATGTATTATTTCCCTCTTGTTCCTCGCCTTCAAAAGGTTATATGCATCTTTAAGGCGACAGCCTGAAACACATACATGGCATGCTTTGCATGAACTTATGATGATGTAATAATGACTTCATCCGTCAGACTCTGAAGACGTGGAAAACATCTATCTTTGCAAAACATATCCATCTGTGTTGGATCGTGTGCATGGGCTGATATGAGTAAATGGGAGATGGCTTTGTACTGTACTAGGCTATAGCCATTTGATCAGCAATCCATGGGACTCAACAAATATTGCATATGGGTTCCTGCCATGTTCATTGTCGCCTGAAACACCATGGCTGATGAAACCATTTGTAAAAACCCATCTCTACCACCGTCAATGTGTATAGGAGAGACAAAGCAGAATATATGCCTGTTATAAGTGTCCTAGGTGTTATTAGCTTTCCCTTTCAAGCAGCCACCTTACTAATACGCAAAAACATAAAATTATGCTGTTTCTGCAACACTATTGCGACTTATATATTTATGGGAATATGGAGATTAGAACAATATCAGATATTAATCGAACCAATCGAATATATATACAGAAGATAAGCTTTGCTTAGACCATCAGATTGATTTATCCAGAGTTGAATGTTATCTGAGGTGAAAGAGCGGCTGGCCAAAA